AAGGTGGATTCGAACTCGAGTCACACGCATCAAAAGCTACATTCATAAACCTCACGTCTAACGTCGTATGCTACAGAAGCTATTTAATGACAAGTGTCTTTTTCCTCGAAAGACATGCACGTAGTGCAAATATACGCTCAGTTATCGAAAATGTATAAAGAAAAAAAAACTCTTCCTGAACTGAACAGGGAGCTGGGGGAAATTTCGTGGGTCTTTTTGACGGAGGTTCCGGCAAGCGCGAGAGACGAGTCCTCTCTTTTTCCCCTCGGTGCTAGGACGACTTTGGTGGACCGTCGTCTAGCACGATGCTGGATCACGGGCCCTGGCGCCGGGGCTGCGAGAAACCCTTCGCTGGTCACTACTGGCGGCTGAGAGACTGCTAGACGAGGCGAAGGCGGGGTGAGCTTGGGTTTGCTGGAAGCGGAGCTCAAGTGTTTCGACAGGAAGTGTCGCATGGCCTGGGACGACTTCTATGCTTCGGTGAATCTCTCCGAGAAACCCCTTACTGCGGGGCCGAAGATGCTGATCTCCTGCGAACATGACCGGAGATGGTGTTTGAACGGGGAAAACGATGCACGTGCGCTTGATAACCTCCATACTCTCAGGCTGTCGTTGGCTGCTGCGCTTCTTTTTCCTAGAAAAGGAAGGGTCTGTGACGCTGCGTCACCGTCCCGGGAGAGAGCTAGCCGCGTTCGCAGGACAGACATGGGCATGCTGCGCAGCCACTTGTAGTGAGTGCAGTCTCTGCCTGGAGGATTCCTTGGCATGAGATGCACCTTGTTTGCTCGTCGGCCTCGTGCAGATTGCCTCTGCACGTGGCACAAGATGAGCGAGGCATTTAAAACAATGCCTAGCAATCTGCAAATGAAAGGATATTGCGTCGTCGCCGGATAGCCACAGGTGAGATGGCATCAGGAGAAAACGGCTGAGGACACGTAGTCTGCTGAGATGAGGCACGCTCAGACTGAAAGGGTTGCTCGAGGGCGAAAGCTCAGTAAAAAGATCAGAAACGCGAAGTTGTCATTGAAGGAGTAAAATCTGCTATAATGGCGAATTGGAGCTGCCCGTCAAGGGGCCGTGGCCTTTGCCTATATTATTCCCCCAAATTCGCAATTAGAGCAGATTTTACTCCTTCAGCAACAACGTTACGACCACGCCATTGGATGTGCAGTTGCCGCTGGTTTTTCTACAAATTTATACAAAATATCTTTATTTTCATATTTTTTTTCAAATAATTTTTTTCTAATTTAGAAATTAAGTAAAATAACTATAAATTTAATTTCAGCAAATGTCATGGATGCTTCTTTACTATCTTTAAATTAATGATGTATCACCCATTGGCCACCCTGCTGTCTAATATATTGGTCTCAGCCATCGGTTGACCTTAATCTTGACATATTAAAAACAAATACAATTTCTTAGGTTTAAGTAATCATAGCTTTATTTAAGTCATTAAATATGTTATGTCAAAAAGACATGTACTTATGAATGGAGGCAGTTTAAGTATTAAAGACGCTTTCATCAGACGCGTTGCCATGGTGATGAGCTGGCCCAAAGTTAACTTCCGTTCTGTTCGTTTATTAGTGTTTACTGGATAATATGGCATTGACTGCAAATGCAGTGAAAGTTAAGGTGATGAGTAGGTTGTTGAGCTGTGGGGTGCAACCTGACCTAGGGAGCAAACGCAATTTAAAAAAAAAAAATGTCAAGGTTTCCTCTGAGGGAGACGGCGGTATTAAAATAGCCTAGCTATGTGATAACCGATACAGTGTTTCCCATACATTTATTAGTGGCAGCCCACCACATTATCAGCGCTGACCGGCACATATTGATTTCTGTGTTTTTAACAATTTAAGATGGGAAAAGTTGTAATTGACTGCAGAGTTGCGTGCAGCGCATATTCGCACGCTCTATCTCTCTCTCTCAAACACATTGACAGCGGACCAGTCTGTGTATTGCATAAACAGTGCTGCACAGATCCATCCAACATGCTGTCAATGTGGAGACCCACCTTAAAAAAAGGTTAGCAAGCATGTAAGAAGCCTAACTAATAAGGAGAGCTATGTTAACCTTATCAAACCCCGCCGTCGCGCTCGCCACAGTTTTTTTAACACTTCGGTAAATCAGACGTCGGTAGAAAAACATCTTGTCTCCAATTTTTGTTCAACGGATCTGGTAGTGTCACATTTCAGTTTGGCCAGGTAACATTTATTTTCTTTGACTGGCAAGAAATACCAGCTACTAGGTTATTTACTTGTTATGGATTGTCTCCGCAAGTCTGCCGGAAGTTAAGTTTGGGCCAGATTAATGCACATGCGCAGTACCGTTTGTTTATGTTGTCACTGCTGAAAGCGTCTATAGTGAAAGGCCTTTAACTTGCCATAAAAGTGTGAACTAGAGTTGTTCCAATTCCGATACTAGTATCGGAAATGCCGCCGATACCAATACAAATTCTGGCATCGGTATCGGCGAGTACTTCTACCCGCGTACCGATACCATTTTTTTAAACAATACATAGTAATGCACGCTAGCTTTGCGTAACGCTGCAAATCGGAGATCAATTCTTCTTCGCTGCTCTAAACAGTGGTTGCTTGTGGCAACACAGGAAATTATACTGTTGTCACAAGGAACCACTGTTTAAAGCAGCGAAAAAGAAAATGCGCGTGCACACCCTGGCAGTATGTCCGCAGTTTTTCAGACTGGACCAACCAGCCAGTAAAACGGCGACATGTCTCATCATGTGTCATGCTGCAATTTTGAGGGGTGGAACAAGATTAGCAACTTCAACACGAGTAGCTTAAGCATTTGAAGGCGCATTACCCCGCAGAACACGATGGCAGTCGGAGGATGAGCCGTGCCAGAATCAACAATCTCTGAAAGCTTCATTTAAATGAAGAGAAAAGTTTACAAAAGAGCCAAGGAGCGATACATATAACCAACAACATCTGTTGAGTTTATTATTCTGGTTGACCAGCCGCTGTCAAAACTGAAATGCCATTTATTTAACAAATTTGTTTATTCTCTTATATTATTCATATATCATTTTTTAGATTCCTAGATTTATTTGTTGAACTTTTTTAATACAGTTATATTGTAAATCTAAAATACCCTTTTCAGTTTACAGTATTAGATGTGTGGTTGCATTGTAAGTTCCTTTTCACTTAAGAAAGATAAATAATATATTGCTGTGAAATGTATGTCAGATAATAAAAATACTCTAGTTCACTGTATGTATTTGTTCATGTTTAATTAAGGGATAAGTCTGAAGCACACCATACAATAATTATATAATAGTATCGGATCATCTCTAGTGTGAACTGTCTCATATAATGGTGTCGGTGCAGTCAAGTCAATAAAATTGTTGAATATTGAGTAGGGGTGCTTGATTCATAAAATATCACGATTCGATATCAATTTTTAGGCTCAAGATTCACATCAAAAATGATTCTCGATTCAAAAAAGCAGTGCACAGTATGTAAATGTAGTTTATTTTTTCCTATGTGATTGATTGCAGTAGACAGACAGTTTAAAAGAAAAGAAACACAACTAATTAAATGTATTTTGCTATTGCATTATATGTCTTCATACTAAAATAAAAGTCTTTTCAACTGCAAAATTGCAAAGCGCCAAGCTTTGGCCAGTTTCAAATACGTTTAATTTAAGTTTAAAATAAAACTTAAATAAAAAACTTTTATATTTAGCTTTAAAGTGCTGTAGTCAGATCAAACAAACAATCATGCTAAATGTGGTTAAATACTTCAGCTACCAGGTTGTTGAAATGTGAACTCGACTGGGCACATTGAACTTCCTAAAAATATACTAATGTCATAGAACCCTTAAAAAATTATATTAAATAGATTAAAAAAGCCACCGCTACTGTTAACATATATGATTATATTGTGTATATTTGTTTAGATCCAGTGAAGTCGTATCATTGGTGTAATTTGCGAATGGGACTGATGGGACATGTCCTCACCCCTTTTTCTCAGGATCGATATTGTCCCCCACCACTTTTTTAAACATTGCACGGATGTACCTAATACAAATAAATAAAACATATCAGTTAACTAGCAGAGCATTCATTTAGTTCGCTATTAAATAAAAGACCTAGTGCTTAAATCTGTTGTTTTTCAAATCATGCTGAGCGCTCGTTGCCGCTGCTATCAATGTCTCTTTTGTTCTCAGTCTTCACTCGGACAAACTCTTCAATCTATCGCCGTTGCGGAGACTCTCTATACACTCTGATGAAATCCCAAAATAAAATGCACACAAACGTGTCCCTGCTTGATATAGACAGTAACCACTGATGAACATATTCGGTTTTGAGGAGAGAGAAAAAAACTATACGAGTGCAGATTGCAACCCGTAACTTCTGACACGCTTGGCTAAAGATCTTCCACTAGACCATTTAAGAACTCAAACAAAATATATGCAGATCGATGCATTTATTTACGGGTTGAGCAGATATGCTGCACAGTTTGACCAGTGGGCAGTGGCCGCACACCAGTCCACCGGATGCTGTTGTTAAGAACTTGCAATGTATCACTATTATCAGACCGGCCTTGAAAACACTACCTGACCACTGGGAAAAGTCCCGACTCTCCCGATTGCCACTCCACCCCTTCACTCCATTACATTATTTATATATATATATATATATATATATATATATATCGATTTTTGGAATTCAATTAATCGATTTTGAATCGGTAAAGCTTGAATCGCGATACAAATGTGAATCAATTTTTGTGCACACAACTAATATTGAGTGTCCCCGATTAAGAAAGACAGAGGCAACACTGGCAGGAAATTTGTCACTGAATGAAAAACACTAATGTACAGGAAATAGTAGTGTTAGAAGATAAATGTTAGTTTAACTCACCCTCTTTGCTGTATATGCTGTTTATGGAACCAAATAAATGGAAAATGTATTTAATATTTGTATATAGAAAATGTATTGTTTGTGTTTCATCTAATTCTGTGTTGTGACTTTATTGTAGGTTAAATGATTGTAACTTAACAAACAAAAGCTGTTCAGCTCTGGCTGCAGTTCTTGGATCAGACACCAATCTGAAAGAGCTGAACATGAACAATAATAATCTGCAGGATTCAGGAGTGAAGCTGCTCTGCACTGGACTGAAGAATATAAAGTGTAAATTGGAGATACTGAGGTAAGTTGAGCCACAGGAGTCACGTGACTAGAGTGAGGTGTGATGACTGACAGGACGATGCCGGAGGCAAAAGCCCAAAATAACTTTATTTTTTTTGTTACAACGTGGTTATACCACATCAATCCTGTCATTGTGCTATTTTGTTGTTGTTGTGTTTTTTCATCTATTAATATTGAAGTGACATTAAGCATTTCGTTCCAAGAAAAGGAAAGATCATTAAATATCAGAATAAGAGCTACAGATCCTGAGGGTCATTGGCAAATATATTTTCTTGTAAAATAAGTGCTCCACATGCTCTGGGGGTTTAATAAAGGTCGGAAGCTAGTTATTTTAGTTGATCAAGTTTTAAATAAGGATATTTTTCTTACACAAACGCATCGCTTCACTTCAGAAGGCTTTTATTACCCCCCAGAGCCGTGTGGAGCACTTTTATCATGATAGATGCATTTTGATGGAAAAATATACAGTCATTCACTGCCATTATAAAAAAAATATATAATTCTGATTGTATTCGTCTGAAAGTAGAATGTCATATACACCTTGGATGTATTGAGGGTGAGTAAATCATGAGATCATTTTCACTTTTGGGTGAACTACGTTCGTTCGTTCGTTCGTTTATTTATTTATATAGCACCTTACAGACTGCTACCGCAGTTCCAAAGTGCTGTACATTGTCATAAAAAAGTCACACAAACATAAAGACAAAATAAAATAAAAGAAACACAAAAACATCCACGTACTGAAATGCCAAAAAATACAGATACGACTTTAAGCGGTCCTTAAAAACATTTAGATCTGCGGAGGATCTAATATCCAACGGCAGATTATTCCACAGTCTAGGACCGGCGACAGAGAAAGCACGATCACCTTTCATTTTGAGACGTGCACGGGGAACAATTAAAAGGAACTTGTTTGCTGATCTTTATCTTACACCTACCCCATAGGCTTAATAAGCTCAGCCAAGTATTCTGGTGCCAATCCATGAAGTGATTTAAAAACATATATCAAAATTTTATACTGTACTCTAAAATGTATTGGTAGCCAGCCTAAAAAGGATAAGAAGGGAGTAACATGATCCGTTTTCCTACCATTCATCAACAACCTGGCGGCAGCATTTTGTACAAGCTGCAAGCGTGCAATGTGTGTTTGACAGGTCCCCACATAGAGTGCACTACAGTAGTCAAGACGTGAAAATATATAGGCATGAACAACTTTTTCCAGGTTTCTGGCTGAAAGTATTGGTTTCAGCTTGGCTATTGCTCTCAAGTTAAAAAAGCAATTTCGAACCACTGTTCTAATCTGTCGATCGAAAGTAATGGATGAGTCGAAAATAACTCCCAAGTTCTTTACTTGTTCCTTTAGCTACCCCTTCCATGGGCCTAAGTGGTCGACTAACGTTTGGCTACTAGCAGTGCGGCCAAGAATAATAATTTCAGTCTTGGTTTCATTTAATTGAACAAGATTTGTAGCCATCCACAGCTTTACTTCCTCTAGACACCTAAGGAGAGTGACATTACCATCCTTACTACCTAATCTCAGCGGCAGATAGACTTGAGTGTCATCTGCATACAGGTGGTAAGACACACCATACTTTTTAAAAATCATTCCCAACGGGAGCATATACAGGAAAAAAAGGATGGGACCCAAAATTGACCCTTGTGGTACCCCACATGAAATGGGTAACGGAGCAGAGTAGTTATTCCCAATCTTCACTGAAAATGATCTACATTCCAGATAAGAAGCAAACCAATTTAGGGCCGTCCCCTGAATACCAACAAGCTGCCTTAAACGAGTCAGTAAAATCTGGTGGTCAATAGTATCAAAGGCTGCTCATAAATCTAACAGAAATAATGCTGCATGATTACCTGCATCCATAACTAAAAAAAGATCATTAACAACCCTTAAAAGGGCTGATTCTATACTGTAACCACCTCTAAAACCAGATTGAAATTTGTCCAAAATATTATTCTTTGTTAAGAAGGTGGATATTTGTTTAAGCACAACTTTTTCAAGTACCTTAGACAAGCCAGGTAGTTTTGAGATTGGCCGATAGTTTTTTAAGTCATAAGGGTCCAGATTTGTTTTTTTGAGATAAGGCTCAACAATAGCCTGCTTAAGGCAAAGCGGTACAATCCCATTCTGCAGACTACTATTTATAATAGCTAGGATACTTGGGCTGACTATATCAACACCTTCCTTAAGAATGGACAACACAACTGCATCAGAAGGACACAATGATCGCTTTAAGTGAAGAATGACATTTCTAATCTCTGAAAGTGAAACCAGTTCAAACTGACTAAAGTATATCTTCGTTAGGTCCGAAGATATACTTTAACACCTATCAACTATCCCTTTAACACCTGTTACTGCACTGGGATTATACTATTTAGTGGATAAAGTATTTTCTATATATGTATATTCTACTTATAAGTTAACACTTAAATTGTGATGTTTTTGTTTAAAGTAATTTATACTTTAGTGATGTAATCATTACTTGCTTACCTAGTGTTCTCGTAATAATGACTAAACATCTCGTAATAATGAGTAACTTTCTCGTAATAATGACCTAAAGGTGCATTGCGCAAGTGAGTTTTTGCAGAACTATGCCCCCTCAGGCGACAAGCGAAACTGCAAACAGAGGTGTGCACGCTCATGGACCACACACACACACACGCACACACACACACACACACACACACACACGCACGGCACGCTTGCACAAGCTGTTCATAAACAAAGGAGCATCAGCCACACAAATCTTTTGTTAGTCACAATGTCTTCAGAGGTAATAAAGTTATAAATCTGCAAGTCATTTTAAATATATGAAAGGAAAGGCATTTGAGTAAATTACACACTTATGTGTGAGGGGAAAACGGGGGTAGTAGAAAACTTTATTTTTTATTTCTATCTATCTCCATGTTGAACTGTTTTATGTGCTTACTGTATCCACTTATGATTGTATTATTATGGAAACACATTAATGAACAATATATTACTTTGTATAGGATCCCGGTTTGAGCCCTAGAGCAGACCGGAGATCTCTTCATTTGTTGAAAGCCTTCTCGATGTTGACTCTCATCTTATTCCGATGCCTGGCACTAGACAAAAGTTTTATTTTCTTTGTCTTAAGTGGAGTTTGCTTTGGGGTTTGGAATTGAACTAAAAGCCGGTCTCTTTGACTCCATCTTCTACTTTTGTGGAAAGTTGAATAAAGTTTTGTCGCTCGAGTTGTCTTCACTGATACGGAGAATGGCGGTGAATACACAAACCTGCCAGCAGTGTTAATTTTACCAGCCATTTTTAAATTTAGTTTCAGTTTTAGTCCAGTTTCAGCATCGCTTGTTAGTTTTTATCACATTTAGTCGACATCATCCCATTTTTATTTAGTCTAGTTTTAGTCGACTATAAGTCGAGCATTTTAGTCTTTATTTTAGTCCAAGAAAACATAATTTTATTCGTTTAGTTTTAGTAAAAAAAAAACTGTCAACATTTTAGTCTAGTTTTAGTCAGGACATCATTTTAACCTTTTACTTTTTTGTCAGCAGATAATATTTAACATTTCCTAAAATTATTTCACAATTCAACATTTTCTCTCATCTTTTTGATAAAAAACACAATTTTAAGGAACACATGCAGACATGGAAGATGTTCTGACAATATTTGCATATTTATTTTGAACATTGTTAAGGTTCAAAGACACAAACACAAATGCTTGCATTAAAAGAAATAAAATACACCTGACAAAGGAAACAAATAAATAAAATAAAAGTGTATTATGAACTTAACACAAGTGCTGGCTGTTTAAAGGAGCAATGTGTGACTTTTAGCGACATCTAGTGGTTCGGTTGCGAGTTTGCACCAGGTTTGCACTAAGGGCTCAGCCCACTGCTCACCCCTCCCTTTCGAAGAAGCTACGGTTGCTAAAACGGGACAAACATCTCGTCGGCTGAGACAGCAGAGAATAGCCAGAGTAAGCCAAGAGTGTGTAACATTGTCACTGTTTCTGTACCACAGTCCATTATAAACCACATCATGAATACTGTCTGTTTACAAAGCCATAGTCAGGTGAGGATCAAGGGTTTTAATATATAATTTAATAAAATAATAATCAGCTGATTGTTTCACAAACGTAACCAGCAGCACATTTCTCCCCACATACTGTAGCAAACCCATAATACAGCGAGGGAGCAGCTATATATTTTTTCTAACAGGGTAGTAATAGTTTAGCTGGCTGATATGAGCTGTTACTGTGGCTGAGCTGGGACGCGTCCGCATGAGTCCAAAGGTCGGAAGTGCGCGCGCTGTTACAATCATGTCATCTCCGCATCCCATAGATACTATTTACTACACACAATAGGCTTTTTTTCTCTGATTTTTAAAATTCTTCGCGATCGACTTTAGTGATAAAAGACTTTAGTAAAAGTCTCTATCGACGGGTTAGTGATTCCTGTAACGTACTGTTTTACGGTCAATGACATGAATACTAATCATCAGCTGTCTCACGAACGTAACAGCACATCTATCCCCAACATAACAAACCCATAACACAGCGAGGGAGAACTAAGTTACATGAAACAATCCCAACTACATATTTTACACCACTCACAAGGGAAAAGTCACTACTCACGGAGTGTAAGGCTAGCTTCCAGCTTTCCGCTACTTCTCTTTCAAGGTAGTGATGAAACGCGTTCTGTAGCTGTTTGTTCGCGTTCGGCTACGGTAGGAATATGACGTCACAACATGGCGACCTTCATAGAAGGGGATTCCCTCGGTTATGGAGCTATTAATGTCTCATTCTAAGGTAATAAAAACATTACGGCTAATTAAGTAAGTTCTTTATACACCACTGAAAACATAGTTATGGATGTCATATTGCATTTCTGTTAATAGATACTCAACTTTGTTACACATTGCACCTTTAAAGCTAGTTCACATAGAATAATAAAATAAATAGATTTGAGGTCAATGTTGTGAAGAAAAAAAAAAAAAACTCCAACTAA